GATGTACTTGTCTGTGACTGGCCCATCTACTACTGGACAAATGTACTTGTCTGTGATTGGCCCATCTACTACTGGACAAATGTACTTGTCTGTGACTGGCCCATCTACTACTGGACAAATGTACTTGTCTGTGATTGGCCCATCTACTACAGAACAGATGTACTTGTCTGTGATGGCCCATCTACTACAGAATAAGCCAGAACAGATGTACTTGTCTGTAACTGGCCCATCTACTACAGGACAGATTTTCTTGTCTATGATGGCCTATCTGCTACAGAACAGATGTACTTGTCTGTAACTGACCCATCTGCTGCAGGACAGATGTACTTGTCTGTGATTGGCCCATCTACTACAGGACAGATGTACTTGTCTGTGACTGGCCCATCTACTACAGGACAGATGTACTTGTCTGTAACTGGCCCATCTACTACAGGACAGATTACTTGTCTGTGATTGGCCCATATACTACAGGACAGATGTACTTGTCTATGATGGCCCATCTACTACAGAATAAGCCAGAACAGATGTACTTGTCTGTAACTGGCCCATCTACTACAGAATAAGGCAGAACAGATGTACTTGTCTGTGATTGGCCCATCCACTACAGAACAGATTACTTGTCTGTGATTGGCCCATCTACTACAGGACAGATGTACTTGTCTATGATGGCCCATCTACTACAGAATAAGGCAGAACAGATGTACTTGTCTGTGATTGGCCCATCCACTACAGAACAGATGTACTTGTCTGCGATTGGCCCATCCACTACAGAACAGATTACTTGACTGTGATTGGCCCATCCACTACAGAATAAGCCAGAACAGATGTACTTGTCTGTAACTGGCCCATCTACTACAGAATAAGGCAGAACAGATGTACTTGTCTGTGACTGGCCCATCTACTACTGGACAAATGTACTTGTCTGTGATGGCCCATCTACTACAGAACAGATGTACTTGTCTGTGATGGCCCATCTACTACAGAACAGATGTACTTGTCTGTGATGGCCCATCTACTACAGAAAAAGACAGAACAGATCGTGTACTTGTCTGTAACTGGCCCATCTACTACAGAACAGATGTACTTGTCTGTGATGGCCCATCTACTACAGAAAAAGACAGAACAGATCGTGTACTTGTCTGTAACTGGCCCATCTACTACAGAACAGATGTACTTGTCTGTAACTGGCCCATCTACTACAGAACAGATGTACTTGTCTGTGATGGCCCATCTACTACAGAAAAAGACAGAACAGATCGTGTACTTGTCTGTAACTGGCCCATCTACTACAGAACAGATGTACTTGTCTGTAACTGGCCCATCTACTACAGAACAGATGTACTTGTCTGTAACTGGCCCATCTACTACAGAACAGATGTACTTGTCTGTAACTGACTCATCTGCTGCAGGACAGATTACTTGTCTGTGATTGGCCCATCTACTACAGGACAGATGTACTTGTCTGTGATTGGCCCATCTAGTACAGAATAAGCAAGAACAGATCGTGTACTTGTCTGTAACTGGCCCATCTGCTACAGAACAGATGTACTTGTCTGTAACTGGCCCATCTGCTACTGGACAGATTACCTGTCTGTGATTGGCCCATCTACTACTGGACAGATGTACTTGTCTGTGATTGGCCCATCTACTACAGGACAGATGTACTTGTCTGTAACTGGCCCATCTACTACAGGACAGATTACTTGTCTGTGATTGGCCCATCTACTACAGGACAGATGTACTTGTCTATGATGGCCCATCTACTACAGAATAAGCCAGAACAGATGTACTTGTCTGTAACTGGCCCATCTACTACAGAATAAGGCAGAACAGATGTACTTGTCTGTGATTGGCCCATCCACTACAGAACAGATTACTTGTCTGTGATTGGCCCATCTACTACAGGACAGATGTACTTGTCTATGATGGCCCATCTACTACAGAATAAGCCAGAACAGATGTACTTGTCTGTAACTGGCCCATCTACTACAGAATAAGGCAGAACAGATGTACTTGTCTGTGATTGGCCCATCCACTACAGAACAGATGTACTTGTCTGCGATTGGCCCATCTACTACAGGACAGATGTACTTGTCTGTGACTGGCCCATCTACTACTGGACAAATGTACTTGTCTGTGATGGCCCATCTACTACAGAACAGATGTACTTGTCTGTAACTGACTCATCTGCTGCAGGACAGATTACTTGTCTGTGATTGGCCCATCTACTACAGGACAGATGTACTTGTCTGTGATTGGCCCATCTAGTACAGAATAAGCAAGAACAGATCGTGTACTTGTCTGTAACTGGCCCATCTGCTACAGAACAGATGTACTTGTCTGTAACTGGCCCATCTGCTACTGGACAGATTACCTGTCTGTGATTGGCCCATCTACTACTACACAGATGTACTTGTCTGTGATTGGCCCATCTACTACAGGACAGATGTACTTGTCTGTAACTGGCCCATCTACTACAGGACAGATTACTTGTCTGTGATTGGCCCATCTACTACAGGACAGATGTACTTGTCTATGATGGCCCATCTACTACAGAATAAGCCAGAACAGATGTACTTGTCTGTAACTGGCCCATCTACTACAGAATAAGGCAGAACAGATGTACTTGTCTGTGATTGGCCCATCCACTACAGAACAGATTACTTGTCTGTGATTGGCCCATCTACTACAGGACAGATGTACTTGTCTATGATGGCCCATCTACTACAGAATAAGCCAGAACAGATGTACTTGTCTGTAACTGGCCCATCTACTACAGAATAAGGCAGAACAGATGTACTTGTCTGTGATTGGCCCATCCACTACAGAACAGATGTACTTGTCTGCGATTGGCCCATCTACTACAGGACAGATGTACTTGTCTGTGACTGGCCCATCTACTACTGGACAAATGTACTTGTCTGTGATGGCCCATCTACTACAGAACAGATGTACTTGTCTGTGATGGCCCATCTACTACAGAACAGATGTACTTGTCTGTGATGGCCCATCTACTACAGAAAAAGACAGAACAGATCGTGTACTTGTCTGTAACTGGCCCATCTACTACAGAACAGATGTACTTGTCTGTGATGGCCCATCTACTACAGAAAAAGACAGAACAGATCGTGTACTTGTCTGTAACTGGCCCATCTACTACAGAACAGATGTACTTGTCTGTAACTGGCCCATCTACTACAGAACAGATGTACTTGTCTGTGATGGCCCATCTACTACAGAAAAAGACAGAACAGATCGTGTACTTGTCTGTAACTGGCCCATCTACTACAGAACAGATGTACTTGTCTGTAACTGGCCCATCTACTACAGAACAGATGTACTTGTCTGTGATTGGCCCATCTACTACAGGACAGATGTACTTGTCTGTGATTGGCCCATCTACTACTGGACAGATGTACTTATCTGTGATGGCCCATCTACTACTGGACAGATGTACTTATCTGTGATTGGCCCATCTACTACTGGACAGATTACTTGTCTGTGATTGGCCCATCTACTACAGGACAGATGTTCTTGTCTGTAACTGGCCCATCTACTACTGGACAGATGTACTTGTCTGTGATGGCCCATCTACTACAGGACAGATGTACTTGTCTGTGATGGCCCATCTACTACAGAACAGATGTACTTGTCTGTAACTGGCCCATCTACTACAGAACAGATGTACTTGTCTGTAACTGGCCCATCTACTACTGGACAGATGTATTTGTCTGTGATGGCCCATCTACTACAGGACAGATGTACTTGTCTGTGACTGAGATTGGCCCATCTACTACAGAAAAAGACAGAACAGATTTATTTGGCGAAGGCTGGCGCACCCACTGCATAACAACAAAAGAGATGGCTTCGATGATTGCCTATGGACATTCATAGGTCAAGTCTTATTTTCTAATTCCCTGCTAATGGTCAGGAAGAGACAAGCCAACCCGAACATACGAAAGTTCAGCTTATAGCATTGATCAAGGATGTATTGTTCTATTAAGTTTGGCACGCGAAATGACATATTGCTTGTTGATCTATAAGCCATGTCTTGTTGTGGCAAACATTGTCTTGCGGTTTCAATCTGAAAACAAAGCCTCAAATTCCAATCATTAGGGTTTTCTCGTAACATCTATCGCCGCTCATGTGCCAGACATTGCACGTCCCGCTGTTTTCATAGTAAGCAGTAATGACTGTTTGGAATCGGAGAAATCTATTACTGGTCATTGGTTATATCCGAACAGGCCAGACACAGGGCGACGGGCAGCGAACAGAGCCTCAACATTAGCCACAGTTACCCTGCGGCCTCTTAAAGGCCATATCACTGTATGAAAAAAATCCATATTCTCCTTTTGATATGATCGACCAGGCTATTACATTAGTGTCGTGCTGTATGTGTTTAATGCATGTCTTTCAACGCTGTGTCTACAGGGAAAGATAAGTATTTTTATTTGATATTTAATTTCTTTTATGAATATAAGTCGCAAAGCACATTTCTTCAGAACACTTTAGTAAGAGCCTAAGGTGTTTGAACTCTGTGGTACTTAAGGTTAAGAATAAAATCCATTGTTTTCTAAAACAAATTGCATATATAAGTGTTCGATGTGTAATTCCAACGATGGTGATGCGCCCTCATGATTTATTCTCCCTGCAATGTTTTTTGTGTGCGATAAACAACGACCACGTGTCGTTTATTTCTTAATTTAAATATGGTGATGGTGATGGTGATGGTGATGGTGATGATGATGATAATAATAATACATTTTTATTTTAATCTGTACATAATAGTCATAAAAACACTGCAGGGTGCATATATCACTCGGGGCTAAACCATAGTTAAGTTGGGTAGCCAAAAGCCAAAAGCGTCAGCTCGACCCGCGGTCGATTTCCATATATGTGACTGATATGTGAGACCTTTCAATGAAATTGCTTGAGTTATCACGTTAAAAGTGGCGTAAGCCTCACTCAACCACGCCCATCTTCCCCGAGAATCTACTTACCTCTCACTCCTTTAATCTTGGTGCAGTATTTTGCCGGAAATGTACCGACTCTACCGTCCATGCCTTGCTTGCATTTGGTCTCGTAGTTGACGTGGACGGGGTTGAAGGGGTCACGACAGTAGGGGTTACTTCCGTTCAAGGAAGTACATGTGAAACAACCGAGGCTATTCACTGAAAAAAATAAGAGTGAGTGAGTGAGTGAGTGAGTGAGCATGGTTTTACGTCGCTTTTCGCAATATTCCAGCAATCTTCACGGCGGGGACACCAGAAATGGGCTTCACACATTGTACCCATGCGGGGTGAAAAATGAGAACGACTGGGTGATGGCAAACAGGGACAACAGAAATGAGAAATGGTTCAAACAATGCATGTTGTTTTACGCCGCAATCGGCAATAGGTCAGCTCGGCGTCAAACAATAATAGAGTCTTGGCAGGATAACCAGTTGTTACAGCATGTTAAACAACCCGCGCTGTCAGGGTACGGTGACATACAAAAAACGAGGGCCCACTTGCACAAAGCGATCTTAGTGCTAAGATGATTGTAACTTCCATACTTTAACATAGGCTTACGGTAGTCTTAGCGCTAAGATCGCTTTGTGCAAGTCGGCCCTGGTGAGACAGTATAGCCATCCGATCTGTTCTTCTGGCAGGGACCCGTGAAGATAGAATATGTCTTCAGCAACCCATGCTTGTCGTAAAAAGCGACAATGTTTGTCGTAAGAGGTGACTAACGGAATCGGGTGGTCAGGCTCGCTGACCTGGTTGATGCATGTCATCGTATCCCAATTACGTTGATCGATGTTCGTGACATCAATCACTGGATTGTATTGTCCAGAATCGTTTATTTACGTACCGCCGTCATCTAGCTGGAATATTGCTAAGTGCGGCGTTAAATAACAAACAAACAAACAAACAAACAACCTTGCTGTAACGAGTCCCGACTGACGTATGAAGTCAGGAATCACGAAAATGTAACACTATTTCAAAACAGTTTATTCGATACTCATGCTATCAATCATGCGGCGTTGAACAACAAACAAACAAACAGAACTCTTCTGGCAGGTATAGGGTTCTTGGAATCTATATTGGCCCGGAATCCCCTCGGGGAACCATCCAGAGAACACACATCATGCATGATCCTGCCATAAGAGTTTTGTTTGTTTGTTTAAGACAACAATAGTCAGGGAGGAATAGTTGTAGTGAGTGAGTGAGTGAGTTGCATTTATTCCGCTTTTAGCGGTTAGACAAACATGAGGCAACAATAGTCAAGAGGTTGTAGTTACAGTTGATACATTAGCCTGTGATATCATCAGTGTTAACTTGCATGTGATATCAACAGTAAAAAGATTACCTGCCTGTGATATCAACAGTCAATGGTTTAACTGTCTTTCATCACACATCAACAGTCAGTGGTTTTCTGCCTGTAATATCAACAGTCAATGGGTTAACTGCCTGTGATATCAACAGTCAATGGGTTAACTGCCTGTGATCATATATCAACGGTCACTGGTTCTCTGCCTGTGATATCAACATTCAATGGATTAAGAGCCTGTGATATCAACAGTCAATGGGTTAAAAGCTTGTAGCATCAATGGTTAAAGTAGCTGCCTGTGATATCAACATTCAATGGGTTTAGAGCCTGTTAATTCAACAATCAATGGGTTAAGAGCCTGTGATATAAAGGTCAATGGATTAAGAGTCTGTGATATCAACATTCAATGGATTAAGAGCCTGTGATATCAACAGTCAATGGGTTAAAAGCCTGTGATATCAACAGTCAATGGGTTAACTGCCTGTGATATCAACAATCAATGGGTTAAGAGCCTGTGATATCAACAATCAATGGGTTAAGAGACTGTGATATCAAGGTCAATGGGTTAAGAGTCTGTGATATCAACATTCAATGGATTAAGAGCCTGTGATATCAACAGTCAATGGGTTAACTGCCTGTGATGTCAACAATCAATGGGTTAACTGCCTGTGATCATATATCAACGGTCACTGGTTCTCTGCCTGTGATATCAACAGTCAATGGGTTAATAGCCTGTGATATCAACAGTCAATGGGTAAAGAGCTTGTGATATCAAGGTCAATGGGTTAAGAGTCTGTGATATCAACATTCAATGGATTAAGAGCCTGTGATATCAACAGTCAATGGGTTAAAAGCTTGTAGCATCAATGGTTAAAGTAGCTGCCTGTGATATCAACATTCAATGGGTTAAGAGCCTGTGATATCAACATTCAATGGGTTAAGAGACTGGGATTTCAACAATCAATGGGTTAAGAGCCTGTGATATCAACATACAATGGATTAAGAGCCTGTGATATCAACAGTCAATGGGTTAAAAGCTTGTAGCATCAATGGTTAAAGTAGCTGCCTGTGATAGCAACATTCAAAGGGTTAAGAGCCTGTGATATCAACATTCAATGGGTTTAGAGACTGTGATTTCAACAATCAATGGGTTAAGAGCCTGTGATATCAAGGTCAATGGGTTGAGAGCCTGTGATTTCAACAATCGCTGGGTTAAGAGCCTGTGATATCAAGGTCAATGAGTATCTGCCTGTGATATCAAGGTCAATGAGTTAACTCCCTGTGATATCAACAGTCAATGGGTTAACTGCCTGTGACATCAGCAGTCAATGGGTTAAGAGCCTGTAGCATCAATGGTTCAAGTAGCTGCCAGGGACAGTGCTTATAAACATTAAGCGTTATTGCTGTGGTAGGACACGCTGTCCTAGATTTGAATTTATGTCGTTATTAGCTCTCAGCATGCACTAATGAGACAGTTTGCATTGCCCGCTACTTGAGTGAAGACTTCCACATCTTGTATGATCAGAACATATTGAAAACATGGCAGTCGCAAGATGTTAAGATCACACGAAAAAGTGTCCGTTAATCAATAGCAAGCTCCCTAGAACATGGGCGGAAACTATATTTTCGTGTTCCAAGTCAATTTATCACGCTCTGGAAACATGCTTGGGGACATATTCTATTTTGACTTCTCTACTGCTGATATGTGTGTGGAAAATTGCGAAAATGTCATCCTTTCAAAGCAACATTTAATTAGGTAAAATAAATATGTTGCAGTGAGCTTATAATGCCACAGTCCCCATCAACTTAAACACAGAATCCTCATATGGCCCTCATCACAATATAAACAAGATATATGTGAGCGTGTTCTCAACACAGTATGTTATAAACACATGCCCCTAATCACAATTTAAACAAGAAATATGTGAGACTTTTGCAGTCGCCTGCCGTGGCCAGTACTGCACACGTTACCACTGTAGTAGTCGCCTGCCGTGACAAGTACTGCACACGTTACCACTGTAGTAGTTGCTTGTCGTGACCAGTACTGCACACGTTATCATAGTTGTAGTTGCTTGTCGTGGCAAGTACTGCACACGTTACCACTATAGTAGTTGCCTGTCGTGGCAAGTACTGCACACGTTACCACTGTTGTAGTCGCCTGTCGTGACAAGTACTGCACACGTTACCACTGTAGTAGTTGCCTGTCGTGGCCAGTACTGCACACGTTACCACTGTAGTAGTCGCCTGTCGTGACCAGTACTACACACGTTACAACTGTTGTAGTCGCCTGCCGTGACAAGTACTGCACACGTTACCACTGTTGTAGTCGCCTGTCGTGACAAGTACTGCACACGTGACCACTGTTGTAGTTGCCTGCCGTGGCCAGTACTGCACACGTTACCACTGTTGTAGTCGCCTGTCGTGGCCAGTACTGCACACGTGACCACTGTTGTAGTGGCCTGTCGTGACAAGTACTGCACACGTTACCACTGTTGTAGTCGCCTGTCGTGACAAGTACTGCACACGTGACCACTGTTGTAGTTGCCTGTCGTGGCCAGTACTGCACACGTGACCACTGTTGTAGTTGCCTGTCGTGACAAGTACTGCACACGTTACCACTGTAGTAAATGCCTGCCGTGGCCAGTACTGCAATCGTTTAGTCGTTGCTTAGTAAATTCCAGACGTCTTAAACAGAGCCACCGGCTTGGCAAGCTGAATCTACCACAAGACAAGAAAAAAGTCCGCTCCTTCCCGACATGTGAAGCTTGAATCAATAACGCGGATGTAGAGTTGTTGTTCCAATCAACCGTGTTGGTCGTGCTTGCTCTCTTTCCTAAATTACTGTCGCAAATAACTATTTCCAGTGGAAGATGTTCTGACCTAACAACAAGTCGTGAGACAGATTGCTCCTTCACTTGTGGTCGAGTGGTTAGGGATTATCCGGCAGTACTACTAGGTTGAAACTCGGTCCATCTCAGATACATGCACAAATAGTCTGCAAATCATGAAATTAGTTACCAGTCACCAAAATAATAATTGATTCACCACATTGTGTAAACAGTGACCACTCTTAACTAATAATCAGAGACCATATATGGTCTCTGCTAATAATGAAGTGAGAAAGACTCATTGTTAGGCTCAATTATATTGCTTATTGTGAACATTGTAATGATTGGGGTCGGTCGCGTAGCCTAGTGGTTAAAGCGTTCGCTCGTCACGCCGAAGACCCGGGTTCGATTCCCGACATGTGTACAATGTGTGAAGCCCATTTCTGGTGTCCCCCGCCGTGATATTGCTGGAATATTGCTAAAAGCGGCGTAAAACCATACTGACTCACTCATTGTGTGATTGATGTCAGTGTTTTCGGTAACAGCAGTGAAGCAATATGTCCAGATGAATGATAGTCGCTTTATGAATGTGAGCAAACGACGCTTGAATTGTTTACATTTTAATTCCATTTTTGCATTAAATTCAGATGTACACTTTACGGCGCTTGCATGTACTGTCATGTTTCATATCTGGTATAAACTATACGGCACGTGCATGTAATGTCATGTTTCATATTTGTACACACTATACGGCACGTGCATGTAATGTCATGTTTCCTTTTTGTACACACTATACGGCACGTGCATGTAATGTCATGTTTCATATTTGTATACAACATACGGCACGTGCATGTAATATCATGCTTCATATCTATATAAACTTAACTGAACTTCCATGTAATGTCATGTTTCATATCTGATATGCACTAAACGGCACGTGCATGTAATATCATGGTTCATATCTGTATACATTATACGGCACGTGCATGTAATATCATGGTTCATATCTGTATACATTATACGGCACGTGC